CTGCTGCTTTTGTGCTTTGACTTCATAGCCAACCTTTAGCTTGTCAGTGCAAAGCACTTTCCTGCATCAGCTTTATTTAGCCCCTCTGTTTCCCCAGCGTGTCCAAAATATGGCAAAAAAATCAGAGTTACTGAAAGCACCTGGAGCGAATCGGTGATAAACCTTTAAAGTGTCCAGCCGGTAAATGCACATTGTGTGACAGCTGTAGGACACGGCGAGTTCTCACATCAGTTTCCTGTAATAAGCTTGGAGAACTTGTCTTGTGGTTTTAATGTTTTTCTAAAAGTAGCTCTAACGTAAGAAGGGAGAACATACAGCAACTGTCAGGATAAAAGAGAATAAACTACCTGCATGTGTGACAAATTCCAAAGTTGAACCTTTTCTGGAAAAGTGAGGCAGTGCAAGCTGATTGCTGTGTGCAAAGAGGTGCAACGTGACCCGAAGTATTTGGTGACCACGGAGGCAGAAAGAGACAGAAGTGTGTGTGTTGGGCTCTTGGTTGTATTTTGGGAAAAACAAATGAGAATCTATTTTTTTTTTTTTTACTTTGTATAAGCACCATGATGTAATGTAATTACCTCAATCAAAACCTATTTTACTGTCTAAAGTTCTATTGTTGTAAAATACAAATATTTTATGTAGTGTAAAACCTTACAGTTTTATAAAAAGGAAAGTAATATTGGTTCAGAAATTGTTGGTATAAATTTTGGATTTCTGCTCCATCGGTTCAAAGTGTTTGGTTTTATCTCTGAGGGCATTTTTTGCTTTGTACGTGCGAACCCAGGAGGAGGAGGAGGAGGAGGAGGAGGAGCGGCTTCAGCCCGTCAGCTCCGTGTGGATCCTTGACTCTGGTCTGCGAGACGTCCTCTGCCATTGTTCATTTCAGTTAGACGCTTTCATTTATGTAGGGGATTGTAGTTTGAGGGGCTTGTGTCATATTATAGCCAGCTTTGTAATGAATACACACAAAATGTGTACTAAACAAAAGGTGAAATCTGAAAACATTTCACGTGTTTCTTTTAATTGGTTTGTTGAAAGGCTCATTTTCTGTAAATAATTCTGATTAAATTAATTTAAAGTGTTCTGGCTGAGTGCTGTGTGTTCATTCAGTGACTGCAGTGTGTTCAGTTTTCATCAACAAATACTAAATATTATCTATAACAGAAAAAGATTTGTAGCCATCCAGATCCTTCAGGCTGTTCTGCAGTGTTTACAGTCAGTGACAGTCTAGCATAGAAAAGCATTACGAGTAGAAATAAAGAAATGTAGGGTTGTTTGTTTCAGCTGAGCTGGACAATCACAGACGGGCTTTGGCTTCAGTTTGAACCAAAGACATACTGTGAAGTTCTTCCAGCTTGCTGTGCTAAGTTTGGATGCACAGTCAAGCCCATAATTATTCAAATTTTGACTTAAAGTTACTATTATTTAACCAGCAAGTTCTTCTTTGACTGGAAATGACACAGGTGTCTCCCAAAAGATAATAAGATGATGTACAAAAGGCATTATTATGGGGGGAAAAAATTTCCTAGCTTTTATTTACATTTGAGCAAAAAGTGTCATGTCCAGAATTATTCATATGCTTCACAAACTGTCACAGTCTCTGGGAAAATCCAAAGTTCTATATCATTCCAAATAGTCCAAGCTGTTCTAAAGCATCCTAATACCCTGATTAATGAAATCACTGTTTTGACTCACCAGGTGAAAAACATCAGCTCTCTGCAGTGGGTTTGTGGACAGTCATGGTTAAGAGAAGGAGCTCAGTGAGGACCTGCGGCTGCACATTGTGGCTGCTCACAAGTCAGGAAAGGGCTACAAAGCATTATATCTCAATGTTTTAAAGGACCAGCGGCTACAGTGCAAAGTAGTGATGGGCAGATGAAGCACTGAAGCTTTTCATCCAATTGGTTCACCCCAACGCGAAGCTTCATGAAGCTTCATTTGCTCTAGCAGGACACCTACTGGACGTAAAAATAATAGCTGGCATGAATTTGAAGAGTGTGGCCTTTTGCACACAGCCTGTAAATGTCAACAACAAAAGGAGTGTGTAAAACATCTATATTGTAGTGATGCAGTATACTGTGTATATTTATGCTGGCAGTATGGAAAATGATTATTTGGCAAAGTTCAAACCGCTTCCTGAACCAGTCACGTGGTACAGCCGGGCAGCGAGGCTTCGGACGTCATCATTTTCAGCTCCTCCCATAAATGAAGCAAGCCTCGATACGCGCTTCGCGGAAACGCCCCCTCATTACTCGACACACGCTCGAAGCCTCGATACAGAACGTCCCATCACTACTGCAAAGTATTATTAAAAAGTACAAAATGTTCCGCACTGTGGAAAATCTCAGAGGACGAGGTCGGAAGCCCAAAGTGTGCTGGCCAGGAGGACAGTGAGAGAGGTGAACAGAATCCAAGGATCACCACCGAGGCCATTCTGGTGAATCTGGGCTCTGCTAGTGGCAATTATATATATATTATAATATATAATATA